TATCTGTGAATCAGCTCTTTTTGTTCCTCAAGCAGAACTTGATTCATGGGCCCTGAGGTTAATAGCTGCTAAACACCAGAACCTTTATTTAATTTAAAAGAGAATAGTTACTGCATAGTCCTAAGCAGTCCAAACGTGCATTCCAAACCACTCTAATAAATGACGTGTTCAGTAACTTTCATTGGAAATGGACACAAACTATCAGAATAGATCAGGTAATCTTTATTATATCGATTTTAATATGGCTGCACATCTGATAAAGCCACAGCAAAGAAAGTGTCAGAGTTCAGCACTGACTGACCAAATATCAGTCATGCCATTGATAGTGATGACAGATAAAGATTGATAAAGATACAGCCTGGGACAAAATAACACATCATAATATTCAGAATACAGAATCTTACTACTTAAAACTAAAAAAAAATATTTAAGAAAAAAGAGGCTGAAAGATCAAAAAGTAATTTATGGAAGGACTCCTCTAAGCCTTCATGGGATGACAGCTTCCCACAGAAACTGACATAAGTCTCTCTGCTCCCTGTAAATTCAAGCTCTAGTATGTTTTTAGTATACTGTGAAGCTGTTATTTAAATAGCATTCTCACAGATTTTATTTTGGAACCCGATATCGAGCACTTAATAAATTGTTAGAAAAGACCAAATACAAAATAATCAGTGCACAAAACCTGTGTCTATGTAAGAATGAAAAACAGATACAGATATTTATAGTAATTTCTACATGGTAGTAGTTGGTGGAATATCCCTGTTGAGGCATCAAAATGAGTACTACAAAACATCTTTCAAGAATAAGTGCAGCTCATGCACTCAAAATATTTTTGTTGAATACATTAGGGAAAAGTATCATGTGAAAACACATTTTACAAAAAAAAACACCTGTTATGGTAGTACAAACATCTACACTGCTGTAACATTTTACATCACTGTAACTTTCTTCTGTGTTCTCTCCCCTTTGTATAGCATAACCCTCTTGAGGTGGCTAGGTATTTGTTTCCACCTTTGCCCTATCAATTGTGTCCTTTGCATTTTTGTCTCTTTATCAAGCAATGCCAACTGGAGACATCACAGTTTTCAAATCACTGGCTTGAATGTGGTCTACTTTGCCTTGTTAGGAAACCTGAGCACAGCTGAAATCTTATACATGTTTAAATTATGTTCAGAGAAATATATTTAGATTCCTGGTTAATGTTTATGACTACTCTGCTTAGCTACAGATGAACACAGGAACAGTTCAAGATCTGTCACGTGTGTTGCATTTCTTAGCAAAATTGTAAGCGAACAGACTATTGATCTGGTTAAAAATTGTAGTCATTCACCTAACTTATTTATTAAAATTATTGTAATCATTTATAGGGCTTATCATAATTTATTTTTCAAAATGAGTGAAACCATAACTGAAAGGCACATTATGATATATTTTAACTACCTTAGTCTGAATTACAAGAAAAATTTTTATTTTACATTTTAATAAGTCACCTAGAAAATAAGTTAAAATCCAATTCATTTGGTCCAGTATGCTTTCTCATTTTGGACACTATATTAAAACAGCTTTCCTTCTGTTTCTCACAAAATGAAATTACTCTTCTCAGCATGAGGAAGTTTATCAGCAGCTTAAATGCAAAAATTCAGTAGGGGTTGATATCAGTATCACTGCATTTGCATTCCAGCACTTGCAAATTGAATCTCCCATCAGTCTCCATTCTTCCTCCCTTTGCTTTGGCTAACAAGAGTTGTGAAGAGAAGAAAAAAATTGCAGTGAGAAGATATGTTTATTTAAAACTTACAAGTTTAAATATTAGTGCTTATTGCTCGTGTCTTAAACAAAAATATTGTTATTGTCAGTATAATAAGTATAAACCAATATTGAGCACCAGTAAAAATCAGAGGAAATTTATGGACAGGCAAATCCACTAAAATTCAATGCTCTTTCAGTGATTAACTGTTACAATACTGTTAAAATGATAAGAGAAAATGCAGTTGTTGCTGCAGTAGCAGATGCATGTCCATTTGAAATGGGGGGTGAAAGGGCTCGCACTATGTGCTATGGGACACCCCTCCTGGGTATGCTAAGTGAGAGCTTTCCCTGCTAAATCTGTGTATTAAATCCTTTTACACACAGTACTACTTTAAATAGCTTTTTAAAAAGTAAAACCAAATAGGCTTTACTATTTGCAATCCTGTTACCAGGTGGCAAGTTCAAAACCCACAAAAGAAGAGGATTAAGTAACTACAAACGTTGAGCAGCTAAGTTGCTGAAGTCTTGACACAGCAGAATGTAGATGGTAAAAATTCATAAGTGAATTCATAAAAGACCAATGCTCTGAGGACTATGAAAACTCAGAAAGACTATGGCTGCCTCGGGAATACCCAGGCATGCTATTTGGAGGTTAGGAAAGTGTCACTACAGGTCTTGAGATGCGTATACTCTTACCTAGGGATCCACCCTTGTTTGCTGTCAGAGACCAGTCATTGAACTAAAAGAACCCAGTGTATCCATTCAGCTGGGTCTTCACCTATTTAAGCCCTTTCCCTTTGACGGGAGTAAGTGAAAATGGTGCGGATAGTAGGTGACTGTCTGATATTTGGGCAGTATTTCCTCTTTGCTGTGTCCTTCTTTCCTGTTTTTCTTAGCATACGCTCCATAGAAGATACAAGCGGGTGCCCTGAAGCCAAGGATTAGATTCTGTACGGACCCCATATTAGAATTTATAACCTGTATACATTGCAAAGGGCATAAGCATTGTACATGAGCTCTGACACTTAGTATGGTAGCCT